GGCTTCGATTTATAGTGATGAGTTGAAAACCTTTTTTGGAAAAATAAGATCTGTGAATGTGTATCACTCTTGTTTCGTTCAATCTTGTATCATTATTAATACCGACCGTATCTGTATGGTGTATGGTGAGTAAACCAGACATGTTTGGTTGTAAATGTACTGTACTGTGTAAATTAATAAATAAATAAAAAAAAAAAAAAAAAAAAATAGATCTATAAAACAGTTCATTGTCCCGTAAAATGAGAACGTTTGGTCAGTCTAGTAACGTAGTTGAAATAGTTTACGGTGTACGTTCAGTCGCCCGCAGCCCGCACACTCGCCGGAATATTTGAGCGACTTGACACGATAACATTACTCGAAGCATTTCTATCTAACCATACTTTCATATATACATTATAATATGTAAGCATTTACTGAATCACTTGAAGTAAAATTTTGAAACATTTTCAACTGTCGTTTAAGTACTTGATCACTTTCTTACAATTCAATATGTATCCTTATTCTTACAAACTGGAACACATTCGCAACAAGTGAGCACACTTGAATGAGCCTCGAATGAAGAAAGAAGAGTGTAGCTACTGGTACTAGCTAGACTCTGCTGGAGTTTATAAATACCGTACTTTCTGGAGCGCCTTCATACCCGTGGGAATGGGCTACCTGGCCAAGTATCCATCATCAGCGCTCAGCCCGGCTCGCAGTATGTTGCCCCCGAGTGCCACTAATTGAGTCCCTCACTCCCCCGCCGCCGCGGCATATATCCGCGAGTGCCGACATCAGTTAGGTAGGGGCCACAGTATTCCCATTATAGTCACCCCATTAATCATTCCATAGGTCTGCATACCCATAACCTTGTCATTAACATATTTTTTAAGAAAAGATTCTCAATTCGTCAGAACTCGGAATATATACATATCTAGATACAGACTTCATGTATGTTCAGTAATTACACAAACATGCTTCGACCGATTAAGAAAAAATATATTATTATATTGTAAAGTGAATTCACTATGTGGTCGCTTGGTCATCCAGAACTAATCGAGATAACGAGAAATCGAGGGTAACTTTTTTTTGAGGGGGGAAAATCATCCAATTACTTCTCCCGCCCGGGTGAGGCGAGAGGGAGTGTCAGACTCTTACTGAAAAAAACCACCCCGTTCCTACTCCTGCACTTCGAGCCGGAGCCCCGGCAACCCGTTAACTCTTTCGTGGCTCCGTATCAGCGTTAGCCCTGTTGGGGCCCAATCTATGGTGGTCTGATGGCGCCTCGAGGCGCGTGCTGAACGCGACGCGCCGTACGCTCGGGCCTGGTTCTGGTCGGGCGGCAAGTCATCCGTGTTCGCCGTTCGCAGGCCCGTGCTTACGGTGGCCGGAGATCGTCTCGCGATCCCCGATGCCCGGAGTGTCTCTCACGACGGCCGGGGCGTGAGGAGATTCGTTCCCTCTCGCGGTCTGCCTCCTCCTTAGCTAGCATGACTGCTTCGCAGAAGCAGGAGACGGCATCCCAGTCTCCCTCGCTCCGTACCATGGTCTGAACCAGAGCCGGATGCGAGAGGTCGCCGTCGCCTATCACATTCCTGAGGACACGGCGGTGCTCAGTTTCCTCCCGCCCAATTCGAAACAGGAACCTACCGAAACTTCCGTGTCCGGCAAGCACCTGCGTCAGGCGGTAGATGAGGATAGCGTCTCTCTAGCCACTCCTCAAAGAGGGGAGCTTACCGCTGCAATGACAGCGAGCCCAACCCTCGGTTGCGATAGTCGTTGCTGCCATTCCGCCATCAGATCCCGCCGGAGCTCATCCCGCAACACACTAATCTGGCGCGGAATCTGAGTTTCGCCCTGGCGACGTGCCTCTGTGCGCAAACAAAACGCGCGCGAGCACCTTCGCCTCCAGATCCCACGGCGGTAATCCGGAAAGGAGGTTTGCCGCCTCCCCGGAGATTGTGCGATATCCGCAGATCAATCGGATCGCCATGACCCTCTGTGACGTGAGCAGCACCTGAGCGGGCCGCCGCATCAGGATCGGCGCCCGCACAGGGGCGCCGTAGAGGGCCATGGACCGCACGACCCCGGCGTATAACCGCTGGAAATCGAGGGTAACTGGATCTGATAACTCCTATCATTTCTTGTGGATGTATGTACTCTGATATAGACGGAACAAGTCCTCAGTAGGGCAGAAGAAGCATTCGTTGATTCATTGGGTATTTTACGATGACCTGCTAACACAAGGTAGGTAAATATAATTATCGTTTGTTGTTAGATAGCTGCAACAGTTCACAAAACTGAAGCCAGCCAGTTCTCTTAAACAACTCGCAGTCGCAGTGAGGCACCGTCGTCGCTCATACATCAGCAACAGCATAATTTGTAGCGAAAGACTACCCGCATAAGCACAATACACATCCAGTACCTGATTTCATTAGTTACGCTTAAAATTACAATTTTTACTAAAATGGTAGTCGTGAGATACACAAGATGCCTGTGGTACTCTGATCTGTATATAAAGGAACCCGACAGCAGAGGTCGAGCCCTCGAGTCGAGCCACATCAGCGATCAGATCTCCAGAGAACCAGTTCGAGCGGGTCGTGGCTCCGCGCTCGCCAGTCGAGCACATTCCGCGGCGGCAGACAGTGAGCCATACTTACGGAATCAACAATCGTTACGCTCGATACATAAGTACAATATGAATATATTTCAATTCAATCATCTGTGAATTAAATATACCGTGTGACGAATGTTTATCTTTCTTTAGCCATTCATTACAAAGAATATTGTGAAATTCTAAAGATTTTTATTCATATAAGTACAATGGACAGTAATGAATGGTCGGGATCTTGGCTCTACAACTTTGTTTGTGAAGTCGGTTCTACAGAGCAGCAGGCCCGCATTCAGAGAGATCGCACGGCGCTCGGGCCCTACGCGCCACTGTCGTGGGGCCCGCTTCGGAAGGGGAGGGAATATCTTATAATCGTATATTTAACGCAACCTTATTATTTTTTACATGTCTCTGTGACTCATCGGGCTTCGTTATATTATTTACCAATAAACAGTGGCTGCCTCAACACATCAATACAATAATAGAACTTCTTAAACTCGATTCATTTTCCGAATAGAGCTCGGTGTATGGAAGCAAGCTAACTAGTGACTCATCGCGTGTAAATGGGTATATACGGGCGCCTGTACGTGCTCGTCCGGAGAATAAAAGACATGATGTTATGTTCTTATAGAATTCACTTCATACATTCACAATGACGCTAAGTAAACCATTAAATGCATTTCACAAATAACGACAGTAAACAAAAATAAATAACATGAACGCATCGATGATCGGGCCAGCACTCGGCGCCTCGGTGGGACGTGGGACCCTGACGTTGTGTTTTATATACCTACGTTTATAAACACAAACACATCCCAGACTAGGGACGACAATTGGTGGCTCATATAAAGTCAAGTCAAGTCAGTCAAAGTTGTTCCGTGCGGGAATTGAACCTGTGACACGTTACTGACCAGCCGGCGTACCAGAGCCTACGTTAATTGTGTACTTAACTATTACATAAACGCAAATAGGTATAAATATGACGTAAAACTATAAAATAAGAAAACATAATCATATTTACACTTCATTATGTACTCATTGAAGTTAGTACGAATCATTAGTACAAATTGTAGAGAGAAATTCTTCGGTTACTGAGCTGTGCAATATTATTTGATTTATTTAATTAAGTAGTAGTGTTATTAAATATGTTTCCTATATTATGTTTTACGGTTTCGGAAGTTTAATGCTGCTATGCTGATCTGATGACGCGTATATAGAAGTTCGCATAAACAGCAGCAATCAGAGGCTGTCTCCATAAATTCACGACAACATGATCCCACCAGGTCAACACTAACAATTTGATAACTCAGAGTTCTCCTGTAGCTAGGATTCGCAGTACCCGACACTAGCGATGTTACTCTAGCATACAGCTGTTCTAGTAGTGGAGCCGTTTGTGTGTGTGTGTGACTCACTGATTGGACAGCGCGCTATGCGTGCTAGGTCGGTGGTACATGGTCTGGACACCTGTATAAAATCTCGGCGGCGCTTCTACTTAAAAGTAATATCCCTCCCTACAGTCACTTCAGTGCCACTTCCCAATAGCAACGTTCAAAACAATAGACAGCTGGCTCCGGCATCCGGCGCGGCGGCCGGCCCCGGCACACACACGCACGCACTGAGCCGTGTGTGTGACGTCACTGGCGCTGCACGCACACTTGTTCACTTGGACGAGTTGCACGGGCTGACGGGCTACAGTTCACCGCGCCGCTACGTCTCGTCTTACAGTTTACTCTCTCGCAACACCCACCGCCATCTATCGGCAAATATGTTCACTTGTAACTGGATTGTCTCTGAAAATACAAGGCATACATGGACGGCCCGATTATGAATGAGTGATACGGATTCACTGTAACGGGAACAAATAAATTAGGTACGGAAAGTACGGCACAGCCAGTGCAGTACTTACGTGTACAGGTTACAGTTCCGACATGTTTACTCAGCTGCCAATCCATTCGAGAGCGTGTTGATGAGAGCCATACCTAGTAGGCATCTATTAGAATACGTCTTGCCTAGTTGATAATATAGGATGAAGCATGTTTGGATAAAAAGAGGTTTGAATAACTTTGTGTTGGTACTCTTTCTCTTTACTGACTGTTTATGATCAGATCGTAAGGCGGCGCGCGACGTGTCCCGAATGCTGTGTCAGGCCCCTTGCAAAGAGGTCTTAGCAATGTCGTACAGGCGCACATTCAACTGTCTCAGAATCTGAAAGCAAATCAATAAAAAATAGATAGACGGAGTAGTTATTATACAATCTGGAGTCGACGGCGGCGGGACTATGAGCTAGCACCGCGGGGCGGAGAGGACAGTCACCCCCGGCCTCCGCGCGCCCCCGCCGCGCGCCCCCGCACCCCGCGCACTCCCCGTCCGCTGAGTACCATTAATCAGCCGTCATGGACACGATGTGCTGCCCCGGATATATTGATGAGCTCTGATGGAATATAAATGGCTTGAGAAACGTGATATTTTACCAAATTGCTGCTCCAACTAAAGCGAGGTTAATGAAATTTTACGCCCCCAAAAGGAAAACTATCAATCTGAATAGTTTATGCGGAGTAGGTGTAGTGTGGCTCATGTAGAGTGGGTATCAGTCATGTAGGGCCGACGTGTTCACTGTTCACGTAACAATCCGCTGTAACTGTTGTTTCAATCATTGACATCGTCATGGCGACAGCGACGTGGCTGAGCACTACGCACTACACACGACTTCACTTAGTTTTTAAAAAGGAATCGTTGCCCCAACAGCGTTTATTTTCTTCTATGTCGTGGGTGCGTGACCAAACATAATTCCGCATGTACATCACACTACTTAGATCCGAAACTACATTTTCTGAATCCTATGGGATTCAGAAAATGTGATAAAAATGTGAAAATGAAATAAATAATAATTTCGTGGGAAATCAACACTAACCGTGCTTCATGAACTGTAGTAGGTTGAAATATTATTAAATCACGGTAATAGTTATTATAGTGGTCGTTTATTTTTAATATATAAAATAATGAATGAATAATTTTAACTGCTTCATTTAAATGTGCAGTTACTAACTTACTACGTAGGTATAGGTACACGTTCTGCCCGAAGCGGGACGGTAAACCGCAATTTAAACGTCTGGTTATGTAAGTAATGTAGGTAGCTATATACCAAACGCCGCACAAATGTCTGTCTAACTTAGCTTAGCAAACCTTGGCCATCACTCCCCTGCCTAACCAAGCATAGGGCAGTGGCGGCACCAAGCGGCCAGTAATATAAAACTATTCAAAAATGTGAATCAAACATAACTCGGAAAAGTGTAACTAGATGGCGCTGTATATATAAGAAACCGATATCTGCTATTTGATATCTTTAAAAATTAATAAAACATCAAAATTGTATAAACAATGACTTAGGTATCTAATATCACAGTCACGTAATTACTATATTGTCTAATAACACATCAAAGGAGGCAGCAGGCGATCTATCGAGCAGATCTTGCCTTTTTTATCTTGGACACTCATGCAGGACCTTGTAGGATCAGCTTCCCCAATTGTTTATTGCTGTATTGTACATCGTCACGTATTTACACCCCTGAATGGCCACCGCAGTAAGTTAAACGGGTTGTAAACTTGCAGCCGTGGTTCTGACGTGGCAGGTTGCCTGTACTCTGACTTGTAGAGGAACATACCGTGCTCGTTGGTGCTGCACGAATATCCCAAAACCGTTTCGTTGCCGCTGCATTCGTCCTGCAGCAGCTCCTCCCAGCTGGAACACCGCCGGCCCATTAAAGACTTCTCATTGACGGCTGAGGCAGAGTAGAGCTTCCAGGCCTGGGCGTGGTCGCACTCGAGGCTGATACTCCTGTCCTGGCACTCGGGCTGCTTGCCGCGCACGCCGTTGACATATACGTCGGCGTGTCCCAGCGGCTCCTCTATGCCGAGCACGCCGGTGCTGGAGTGTATCACCTGCACGAACTGCGCGTCCTCCCGCGCCAGCCGGTACTCGGGGCGCGCGAAGCACGGCCGCGCCGGGTCCAGCGCTGTGATCCGACCCAGTGTCGTGTTTAGTTTTTGTCTCACCAACTTTCCGGTGAAGCCGGCGACATGCGCTCCCAAACTGAAGCCTATCAGGTGGATCGATGACAACGGGTATCCCGATTTATGCAGCTTCTTTATAAAACCGAAAAGTAAATGCGAGAGAGGAGGTACGTTAGATACAGCGGTGACGTAACCTCTACAGAAAGACAGTCGAGTGTCGAGGAGGTGCACGGAGGAATGCTTGGTCATGAGTGCGTTGACGATGGCCTGCGAGGAGGGGTCGTCTGGCGTGTTCCACCAGCCCGGCACGTACAGCACCAGCGCGTCCGTCGGCCGCAGCCGCTCGCGCGCCGCTGCCACGCTCAGCGCGCGTCGCCCGCCGCGCGAGAACTTCACCACCTGCGTCGCCGGTAGCTCCAGCGACCGCGTGCGAGAGAACAACAACTGCTGCGGCACCGCCTCGCCTGCAACATTAATGCACCGCTTTTGTAACATCTCAATGAAAACGTATAATAAAAAAAATATATCTAAGTAATCACTTAAAGACCACGACATCATTATCACCGAGCGATAGAGAAGTGAAACGTAGTTTTAACGAATTCTACGATCCAGTTATACTTAATACTTATTAGAATTGATGATATTTTTCAATTTGACAACGATAATTTGAATTTGATAATGTTTATCACATTGTACGATCCACTCAATCTCACGTCGACGCATATTAATGTAAAGAAGTTATACTTTGTAGTATTCGTATCTCGTGTGCAGCTCAAGTGACATTGGTGACAGTCCGCCGCTCGTGCTGTGGTGGGGACGTCGTTGCTGTTCAACTTACTGACACTGACCTTTGCCGGTTCACTTCTGAGATTACATCATAAATTCCGACCGAATATTACGTCTTAATATAATATGTGTTAATTAATTTACATGAGGTATTAATAAACTACTGCTGGTGATCATTTCATTATTGATCACTTCAAATTAATTATAACGTGGTTGGAAGTATGACACGTATGTGTTTGGACACACGGTGGAAGATCCTCATAGAGCACTTACCGGGGGGCGGTAGTTCACATTGAAGCTGTCAGGAGTGTCGAGGTAGTAAATTTTTAGGGTCTACAAAAATAAGGGAATGTTGTTTGGCTGACTGTACCTACTCAATAGCTGCACCACTAGCGACTCTTAGTTAGTTTATAAGACATCTATATTTACAATTCGGCGCGACACAGTTGAATCAATCAATTCCGTCCGTAAACCCGCACTGACGGTGGTCGGGGATCGTCGCTCGATCCCCGACGCCTGGAGCGTCTCCAGCTGCGGCTGGCGACTGAGAAGGATCGTGTCCTTCTCAGTCGCCAGCCGCACCATGGCCTGAACCAATGCCGGGCGCGAGCAGCTACTTTAAGATGCTGATGTTATACAAAATTATTCCCGATTTTGTATAACACAAATATAACAGAAATGGACACAATACATTTTTTTCGCATAAAACATTATCTATTATGTTAATGGCAAACAATTCTTTTTCAAATCATCTTCCTTGGTACAGTGAGTGAACTCGTTAAGCAGCTTACAGGCCGTTCACTTCTCGCGGCAGCAGCATCAGGGTACCTACTTGTGAATGACTCGCGGGTCGCGACCACTCACTCACAGCCTCACAGGCTCCTACATACAATAACAACTCGATGTGTTATTGATAATCAAACTATTTTGTTATTGTTAAAACATCAGCACCTGGACGCGACATGTAATTAAGTAATACATCAGGCACATAACATAATAATATGTGGAATAAATATGAACTTGAGTAAATAATACGTGAACTGATAATTTTGTTCGTACACTTTTGTCTTCCCAAGGGGATAGTTCTGTAGTCTACTTCTGTTCAATGGAATTTATCACACACGTACGTTCCGACTGCCTTTCTCGTATGATTTTGTAGAATTGTACAACTGGCATGTTTTAAACAATTATATATTATTCTTATAGTTTACCTAATGACACTCAAATCAATTTTCTCCAACAACCAATTTTGTTCAAAAGAACATACATTAGCATTAGTCTATATAACAAATTATAACTGTTTTACGGGGAAATGAGATGAGAGCACAGAGCACATCACATCGGTACACTAGAAACACGTACAGCTTGCGGAGGCAGCCTTTACAAGATCGTCGAAGTGTGCACTGAGGAAGGGCGGGAGTATGGCGCCGAGCACGGAGAGCGAGTCCGGCGCCGGGGGCGCGGCCAGCGCCAGCGCCGCCAGGGCGAGCGTCGTGGTCGCCCGCGCTGCCATCCGCGCGCGTCGTGTGCCCACCACTGCGCCCGCGTTTACGTAACTCTTCGTTATAAACAACACCGACCGTCGCCCGAACCATACCCTTGATACTGAACCACGGACGCGCGCCCACACCCACACGGCGCGAGAACATCCACTCTGATCACACCTAATAACTACAGCTCGAAATAACACTCGCATTTTCATGATATTTATACAAACCATTGTGTTAGCTTTGTACTCGTTACCTATACATTTTGCGCTTGCACAATTCGAGTGATCAAATTATTTGGTTTATCGTATAAAATCCGTAATTATTTAAAAGTTCTCGACGTATTAGTCTTACGTCGACAGTGTGAACCTTCTGCCGTTTATACAATGTGGTGCGCGGGGCGAGTGATGTGAATTCAGCGCGCACTTTATTATGTACGGCTATTGTGTATTTATATAAATCATAAGGTTTTTGTTAATGTTGGCTTGTTATGTGGCTAATGTGGCTAGAGATCACAACGGTAGTCGGTTCAGGTAGCGCACTTGTCAGTTGTTTGTCACTTCCGACGGATTTCTGGTAAATTATTTGTTGAACTGTATAATCATTGCAATTAGGGACATCTTTCTTTGGCTACATTCATATTTGCACGTCACTTCAATACATTTACAACCAGCTCTACTATGTTATTTAGTTATGTCTTATTTATATTAGGTATATAATTATACCTTATACTATGTATCATAATGATAAAGCTGAAGAATTCGTTTGTTTGCTTTTCGCCAAATCTCCAGTACCACTGGTCCGATTTGAATAATCATTATTGTGTTGGGCAGTGCATATAGGTATCGAGGAAGGCTGTAAGCTATAAAACCTTTGGATTACCGTGGAAATCATGAATGTGTATCATACGTGGATTCAATTACTCGTCACTCTCTTACTACTCTTGCCGACCGACGCATGATGTTTGACCAAGTATTTCTTTATAAAATCTTGAATAATTTCACGCCCCTGAAATTTTGGAAGAAATTGCCTTAAGAGTACCCAGACCTGGTTCCCGTTCACAAAAACTCTTTTCAGTTCCTTTCTATAAAACGGTTTACACCAGTAATAGCTTCTTCAGACGTAGCACAGACACTTATAATTGTAAATTTAACGAAATACATGTATTTAACCACAGTTTAGCATCATATAAAATTAAATTGCGCAACCTTCTCTTAAAATAATGTAACCTATGTTTGACTGCATGTGCTTGTGCATTCTGTTTAAAATAAATTGTGGGTAGGTTACTTTTATGCTACACTTAAAAATTGTATGGAACTCGAAGTCTTTTTGAACCTATTGTTTTCTTATATAAGTTTTGTTTTTTATGTGACTGTTTGTTTCCTAAATAAAATAAAATAAAAAATAAAATAAAAAAAACATCGCGCTACGGTCAATAGGAGCCGAGCACAGCGAGTGAAACCGCGCGTGGGTGGTATTATACCATATAAAGCTGATGAGTTTGTTGACCGCGCTAATCTCCGGAACTACTGAATCCCGATCCTTCTATACTGCGATCACGTGCTTAACGTTCATGTATACAATGTACTGGTATCGGCAGAGGGTGCTCCGCAACTACTTTATTGTACTTACCTTCCTAATGAACAGATAGCAATGAAGTTGATGCTCAGCATGGTACACATTTTTCAGGGTTCCTGCAGTAGTTGCAAGCCAGTACCAACACTCTGCCGCCGTCCCCGGAGCCCCGCGCAGACTACTGGACGAATTAACATTGCAAAATAAAAGAATCCTTTATCATTCGTCCGGTGCTAAAAGCGTACAACCTGATATCTTCGAATATTTTCCCCAAATATGGAACCGGTGTGTTTAGTTCCTATAAATAAAATAATCAGTTTACCCTTAATATATATTGTTTGAGTAGGTACCTAAGTATAGGTATTTTGTATTACAGTGTATCTGTTGCGGTCACGTCGCGGCCGACATCACGTTTGCTATGCCTAGGTTCTTGAATTAATGCTGACTCATAACTTCGTGTGTTATCCCGCGAGTACCAACTTTCCACGTAATAACATTAACGTGAGGGTACACAGTACACAGATAGGTACTGTGTACTGAGTACTTACATTCTCCACGTACATCGACATTCCCCGCGACTTGTTATAAACGACTCGCCATACATTATACATGCAAATTCAAATCCCATCAAATATTGAAACCTCGCCAAATCGAAATTGCGGTCGAGAGCTCGATATATCAAAAATCGCGACCGCTCGATACACGCGCGGCAGGCGGCGGTTGCCCGCGGCTCCGCATACAAAGCGACGCGCGACGGGTTAAGCCTATGTGGGCAATACATGCCCAGGCACAGTACATAGCACTGGAGGGCACATAGCGGCCGGAACTGTCGTAGCCCGTTGGCCGAACTGCACTGACATCAATTAATTCGGCACTACTCGAAAACAATCTGCGCGCTTTACTAACCCTACTTATACAGTTGTTCGGAAAAATTAAAATGAATAACGCAGTGTTTACATAGAGGTAACATAATGCTACAGCGAGCTCTGACGCCGAGATCAATTATTACCAGCAGGACTACATGAGAATCGTAGAGTACACGGTACACGGCCGGCAGCCGGCAGCCAGCAGGTGCCGGGAGCGATGATCTCGTGTAATATGACATCAGTACGACAGTCACGTTCTACGTCACTCAGTGTATGGGATGATTAGCCATTAAACATACGAGCCGGCGCTGCCGCCGACTTTCCCCGTTACAATAAGAGTTGTGACGATAGAACACACTTCTCTTGACACGAACAGTAATGGTTCCTGCCTGGGGCCTCGAACAAATTCTATCGAGGTTCGTTCGATCTGCTGACTTTTTGCAAAAATATTTTGTGACGAGGTGGACAGAAGCCGCTGATACAGTTGTGTGACACGTGTATTGTATTATTGCACATACTACAGGATTGGTTAATCCGACACTGACTGACTACGTATACGAATTATAAAGTCATCTTATTCATTGAATTACAATTTGTTGTAGTAGGAGAGCTGTAGCGTGACACCAAATATAAAATATGTTTAAGGACATCTGATATCGAACTACAATATCGACACGATTCCACGAAGATTCGACCTCAGTATTTGAAGAGAGACCGGAGTCCGGAACCAATCCACTGCATCTGTTCGCTCTATTGTCGGTATTCACTTTAAGGTGAACTGGTTTGAGCAAACCAACTGACATAGATCTCACAGAAGGTCAATGACTCAATCTAAATGTATTACATCATGGAAGAATAACCTTTGCTAGTTCCGAATGTGTAGTGTTATCGACCGGAATGCAATAGTTGAGCATATTACGAGAGGGGGCAGGCAGGCGGCAGCACGTCCTCGATCCTTGATAGTAATATCTCCGGCGCGGTGCGATATGAGATTCCGATGTGATACACACTCGCCTCGTTCATCACGTACGTGCGGTACATCGCACAGACTCACGAGGCCTTCCTGGAATCGAGACGATGTTACAGCCAAAATGCCTTGGACAATTCTCCAATGACAAATCGTCTAAAATGAAACGATATGGCGGATATAAGATGGCGCGGGTATCATGAACCACCACAGAAATATTTATTATATCTGTGTGATCCACCCAGGCAAAGGCAGGTGTGAAGTAATAGTATATGGCCAAACCAAAGATCATCGGACGACAGCAACATAATAATATACAAACAAGTGAACTGTAAAGTGTAACAAACATTGGGTAAAGGTACAACAGCCGCTCTATATGTCGCCGGAGACTGAGACGAATGCGCTGTGTCCTGTGCGGTGCGGGAGTGTGCATTGTTGGTACAACATGGCAGCACAATCGTGTTTCGTGAGATGGTTTGACCTCTCCCAAGCACTGGTTACACCGCACGGCGCGCTGCGGTCGCAAGCCTCACTACAAAGGAGTGTCACTACTGTCAGCTGTTGTGCGAGTGCCGCAGACAGGCGCGGCGCGGTGTGGGTGTGGCCACTAGCTGCGGCCGTCGTGACGCGCGGCGGCGGCGGCTCCAGCAGACAGGCGGCGCGGTGCTGGCACGCTCGGCACCCCTCCCCCCCCTCCTCCCGCTTCACATTCCCGCTGACTACGCGACTGCACGAAACAGCGGCTAAACATTTAAATTATGTTCCCTTTGAAATGTTATACATCTTTTTAAAGGAATTCTTATAGGTATACACAATTACATCACAGGCAGGGACGCCGCGCCGTCCTCGTAATCTGCTCCAAGAATCGGGAGTGCGGTTGTCTCAGCTTCAATCAATAAGAAAAGTTTGAAATCAAGGATTAAAACTATATTAACATCGAGATGATAGAGAAGTTACATAGTTGGTAGTTAAGTTAACCTTCAGCAACCATTAGTTATTGGATGTATCTGCCTATGTAAGTATCAGTGTCCAGTGATGACTAAGGCACATCAACTTTCGTAACACAATATTTTGTATTAACTGTAAAAAAAAAACAATTTTAAAATATTATATGATTCGAGGATAATGCTAGATTCGTAATAGGAGCGGTATTTACGCCACGCAGCGACTTGGCCGATTGTTTTTGAGCAAATTGCTCCACTAGACGACTGCCTTTTATTGTGTTTTATGTCGATACATACATACATACATACATATATGCCGCACTTCGACGTTTGGAAACAAATATGCACGTCCCTCCTTTATAATAAAAATATTATTTTTTTTTTGTTAAAATAATAGTTACTGAAGGTCACTGCACTGGTGCAGCCTCACCCTTTGGGGATGCCTGATCACCTGATGGGGTAAATGAAGTGGAGAGCGACTGCTTCAGACGCCAGGCGGCCGACTTTTCGACTCATCGACTTGCGGCTCGTCGGTTGAACTGTTCTCAACTGAAGTATGAAATAATACCATGCGAGTACCAACGCGGACAATCAAATCAATAGTATGATCATTACCTACATCGTAATAGACTCGAAATAAGGGAAAACTTCCACTTTGTGGCAATTTGCCGAGTGAGTACAATTTGTGGGTAATATTGTCCACTTATGTAGTGAGATATAAGGCAGCAGTCGGCGGGTGTAGCCGTGTAGAGGCCGCATGTGTCGCCATGTTGGTCTGGTGCTGTGTCGTCAGCGCGCTGCTGCTGGGGCCGGCGAGCGCCAACCCCGCGGTGAGACTCTAACTACCTGTACGAAGTGTATGTCATGTGTACACTGCGTTGTTACACATAATACACACACGGCTGGGCTGTCGCGCAATAGGTAGCGGGTTCGATTCCCGCACGGAGCAACTCTTTGTGTTATCCAATAATTGTGGTTTCCGGTCTAGACATCAAGTGTATGTGAACTTGTATTCTTGTAAACGCATAACAGGAGAAAATCCTAGTTAGAGGCAAATTTTTAGAAAAAAGTAAGGAAATAATTATGTAGAGACTAATTTGTCAGCCTATTTAGTAATATCTACCACTACTACCATGTGGTAGCGGTAGATGTTGATGTAATTATGTGTGTGTGCAGCCCCTACAGTCGGAGCAGCGGCCGCTGTCGCTGGTGTCGGAGCTGAGCTCGCGGCTGGGCGCGCTGCCCGCGCGGCTGCAGGACGCGCGCCTGCCGCTGCCCTCCTCGCAGGACCTGGACGCCATCAAGAAAGTCGCGCAGATTCTTGTCACGCTCGGACAGCAGGTACTCGGCTAGGGTATGTTTGTACTTCACTCGCGTGCACCAGCCACCAGAGGATAGATAGTCCCCACTCTCCGTGTCTCGTAAAACTAATAAATCCCATTCTGTTGCATCGTGGTCTTCTACTCAATAAATAATACAATAAATGAACAAACTTGTGGAAAGTGACAAGGATACGCTTAATGAGCTGAGCGGTGTGACGTGAGTAGGGCGCGAGTGGCTCAGTACTCGGTAACAATAAATCGTGAATGTACATATGAGCTGTGAGACGTGACGCACACAGGATTACCGGCGACAGTGTGTCGGGTCGCGACTTAAATCCCATAAGTGATCGACAGGACAGATGTATACGCGTGTACACTCCGCCAATATTACACTATGTACCCAGTGCTGGAGTAACAAAAAAGGGTTCAAATTAAAAGCGACCCTTTCTCTATTCACCGGCGACTATTATCTGAATTCCTATTTAAAGAACACCCATGAGAATTATTGTATTTTTTCTAAATTCTTTTATTATTGGAATGTAATGTATTGTGAATATGTGAATATCGATCTCAGCCTGACGGACTAATTCCGTACAATAGTCGCACAAATAAAATAGGAAGATATCGTCACATTACAAGGTCTAGATAGATACAATTACCGCGACTGAAGTTTGTATAATAACTTGCTCTAACATCATACGTAACACAGACAAAGAACTACTTCTCGACTAATGTTGTACAAGGATGCAAGATTCAAGCTTCCGAGCTGCAACTAGGAACAGGAAATATTTTCAATTTGGTAAAATAATGAATGTTCTATAATTGTACCGTGAGTCTAGGACGTTCAGACAACTGTTTTGCATGTTAGGTATTTGTTTTTGTTGCTTTGAAATTATATGCTGGTTTCATTCATAGGCCGTCTAGACGTTTTAAGAGACCCGAGCGTACGGCGCGTCGCGTTCCGCGCGCGCCTCAAAGAGCCATCAGACCACCACAGATGGGGCCCAATACGGCCGATGCCGATTCGGAGTCGCGGAGAACCTAACGGGTAACCGGGGCTCCGACTCGACGTGCAGGAGAAGGAACGGGGTGGTTTTTAGTCAGTAAGAGTCTGACACTCCCTCCCGCCTCACCCAGGGGACAGCCTTTCGATGATTTCCCCCCCTTAAAAAAAAAGACGTCTTAAGAAAAATGATGTGTAGTCGTTTCAAAAGTCCCTCTATATGATATCATTATCATAACCATAAATGTCAGCCACAAGACGTCCTCTGATCACAGATTGATTCACATTCCTTGGTTTACCAGATAAGTCGGTTGAAAGCTTTTTTAATATTTCTGTGGTTGGAAGCGTTCGGCATCCAGCGGTTCCCTGCAACCTTTTTTTTTTTTTTTTTATACCACGACGGTGGCAAAAAAGCACACGGCCCACCTGATGGTAAGCGGTTACCGTGGCCTATGTACGCCTGCAACACTTGGGGCATTACATGCGTCTTACCGACCCTTAAAAAACCTATTCACCGCCCTCTTGAAGAACCTCATGTTGTAGCCCACTGGGAAAACCACGGCAGGGAGCTCATTCCACAATCGGATGGTTCGTGGGAGAAAATTACTCTGAAACCGAACTGTACGGGACCATTTTGGCTCCAATGAGTGAGCGTGAACCCCCTGTCGATGGCGAGCGGTGCGATGATAAAAAGTGGCCGTGGGCATCGTATCAAATAATTCTGCAGAACATAACCCATTATACAAGCGGTAGAACACGCACAAGGAAGCAAAATCTCTCCTTAGACTTAAGTGCTCGATACCGCTCGTAAGTATAGGATCGTCAACAAGTCTGACAGCTCTCCTTTGGACCGCGTCAAAAGGTCCAAGCTGGTATGCTGGCGCTCCTGCCCAGAGATGAGAGCAGTACTCCATATGGGGGCGAACTTGCGATTTGTATAAAAGCAGTCTTTGTCCCGGCGTGAAGTACCGCTTCGCTCTGTTCAGTACACCGAGTTTTTTAGATGCCAGCTTGGCCTTATCTTCTAAGTGACTACGGAACTGGACGTCACTAGATATGTCGACACCAAGGATACCTATACTTTTGGAGATGTTAAGGGTAGTGTCTTGGAATTTAGGGGCCACAACCTTTATCGATTCGTCTGTCCATTTTGTCGATAGACGTACTGCGGTGGACGCGTCTATATAGTTTCATAGATGTTTTTGTTTTGATAGGTAATCCCTGGTATCATAGGCGAGCCGGTGCCGGCGCCCGGGAGCTGCGAGCCGGCGGGCGGCGGGGACGACGTGCCCAACGACCCCGTCACTATAGACAGACAACCGGCCTAACTAGCATAATTTTCCATCTTACTGAGTAACTAAAGCATTTTGCTGCTCGCTTTTGATTTTGCTTTGTACCATTTCAAAAGATATAGCCTCTTTCTATGGTACCAAACTATTCATACAATCAGATTTGTTGCTTCTAGACATGGTTACTAGTTTGTAGTCCCTAGCATGATGAATTGATGACACAATGGCCGCCTGACCTCTCCACACGTCGGGCTAGCTGGGGACTGTATGATTCAGTAAGATTATTAGGTACAGGTTTTTTAAGAAAATTATAGCATTGTCCTTCTTAATTACATAGAAGCAGAATTACATAGTTACTGTAGGACTAGCATGTGTTATGTGTAATATTTAGTGTTATGAGTTGTAGGTACTTGTAAGTAAGATGCGGGCTTGTATAATAATGTAGGTGTGTAAGTACATAGCACGTCAGTACTAGCGGCATCCGGAGATAATGTTCTTAGTCAAGGTAAATAAATATTTGCAACAAGTGAATTTATTTTAATTTATGGTAATGCAGCTGTTGGTGTGTGTGTGGGCGCGCGACGTGGACCGGTGAAAGATGCACACAGTTGTGTGTGTGAGACTGTGAGTGTTCTTGCTACACACAGCTATATGTCATCGATAGGTCGATAGGTCGACACAGACAGACACGACGTACTTAAGCTGTAGCAATTTATCAGGAACCTACATGTTGTAGGCATGTTACATGCAGAACATTATAGTAGACATGTTGTAGTTCCCGAATGTTACCAAGACAACCTCGACCCTCGACTACATGAGCGCATGTTTGTAACGCTGTGTAACGTGGCGCAGGTTCAATTCCAATTGTGTGATTCACATATTGTTGTCCCGGGACCCGGGTCCCAATGGGAATGTGATATTTTTTGTAACAGCACCCATAATGGCACAGGAGGAAATGAAAATTACGATGTATGAAATTAAATTAATACACAATACCAAACAAAGACGGAACAGACAAACAGAACTGTGTGAGGCATCTCACATATATAGGTATGTATTATTAACGACCTATCTACTTACAACCTGCTTGTAAATTATTTTAAGGCCTCTAATTATTGTCTTATTTTCTGTGTGGTTAGCGACGTAAGGCCCGAACCATGCAAAGTCTGCACAAGTCGCATCAAATACAGTCCATCCGTAACGTATGGTATTAATACATACCTACATATGTATGTCTATGAGATCCAGAGACAGACATACTTATTGTAGAATTAATAATATCATCACAACGTTGTTGTATGGCCCATATTGACTTAGAAACTAACTTTTGTTTTTAGATGAAAGTGAAACAATCCATGGAAATACCATGACGTCACGCCTCATATTTACCTTTATTATACACACACACACACACCAACAAATTCTGATACGTTGCAACGCATGCTGTTTCTGTAGACCGTGCTGCACTGCACAGAAAGTCGATATATAATAAATATTGCACATATACAGGGCTCTTATAGCCCCAACCAGGTGGGCACCACTGCACCAGTAACATCGAGTCATCATGGCAGACAGCGCTAGCACTACTAGTGCGACACACGTCCTGAGTGATAGCCCCAGCATGTTCCAGTCCACGTCCCCACGTCCCCACGTGTCAGTGACTGCGAGGTGTGTGTTCGCGCAGGGGTCGCTCAGGATTACAAAAGTTGCTGTCTATTGAGTATAGAATACTAGCAATGTTTTGAATAACATTAACATTGGCGGTGACTGAGTTATGTGATCAGACAAGGTCAATATTTTGTCGATTCATTATTTTAGCGTTTGTTAACAAGTGTTAACGGCTGTGCCATTATTTACTTCGTGTGCATTGCGTCAGGTTCTACAATTATTACTCCCTCCCCTGTCTGCCAGCCGCAGTGTCACCGTGAATTTGTTGTTTTGTTGTTGGGTGTCGGCAGTCACACAAGCTGCGCGATGATACATGGCAAGATACCTGCACGGCGACAGCGCCGTATGTAGGTAGGTACAAACAGCTCCGCTAATTCATTCGTCTTTGAGTATAAAGATGCCGTGTCACAGCGCCGGACAGTTTAGTTCCCGTTCAGCCTGTGGAGGATTCCATTTAATGCTGCCTCTGAATACAGTCGACGTACTAATTATATCTTTCCAACCGTGAAGCAACCGCAGTTTTGTGTAATTATAGAGATGCAAATATTAGCAGCCACGAGTGATTCAGTAATTGTTTGTTAACTCATGTTAGTTGAACAGAATGTCAGAGATGAGCTTGACCTGGATGAGTAGTGCACAACTGCACCAGCAGTCGGCGCGGCTCGGGCCCGCTCGGAGGCGCTCGGAGGCGCTCGGAGGCGCTCGGCCGCGGGCCGGCGAGCTGGAGGTCAGGTCGTCTCTTCCAAGGTCTCTAGTAATATGTAAATGATTGTTAGCTCGGATGTATGATGCACGCGGAACACGGTCATATTGGACGTCATTGAAAAATCTGTAGGTGGCGAGATTAAATTCAATCATTCGCTGTTAAAAGGTCTTCAAAATATTTATTATGTACTTAACCTCGAGGTAAATATTATATATAATAGAGTTGAACTTTGTTATGAGTTAGCAAGTTATAATAAAGTATGTATGAATGTAAAATATTGCCAAAATCACGAACTAAACCTGCAATCAGCTATTATTATCATGTAGTTTGGCTCCCTGCACACCCACCCCTTACTCTATAACCTCTAAGTACTAACCTCTCTCTTGTACAAGTTGCAGCGAGATAGTAAAGCCATTTAGTTGCTGAAACATTGCATAACAGAAAAGTAATACACATTAAATATACATTTAGAGGTACAAGTTCGAACCTAGTTCAGGCATATGACATGTCATAGTTATAATAATATAGAATTAAGACATATATATATAGTAAATATGAAATTACTGTTCATATTTTTTTAATAAAAAAATATTTATTACTATATTATTGGTGTATTATATTTGACCTCAAGCTCACATGACGAATAGGAAAACGGCCAACCGATGCATTTTGACTAAGGTGTAGTTCGCAATCACTTTCAATGCTTTCACTGTAATGGTGTAGTATAAACAATAATGGTACTAACTCTACGAGATTGATCGCAAGTAAACGCTGCTACGCGCTACGAATGTCGCGTTATACGTGCACAGCACGCGCTACGAGCTACGCGCCATGCACCATGCACCATGCGCTACATACGCGCGGGACTAGACAAGCGTGACGTGCAAAGTGCTACGCGCTACGAACTACGCGATACGAGCCACGGACCGCGACTTATTAAATTATAAAAGATAGAATGTGCCGTGAAATTATTATATCGATAGTTCACATGTTTTGTTTAGATAGAACAAAGAAAAAAGAAGAAGTTTGTGATGAGGAGTTTTTAGGCTCAATTATCATTCGAGACGTCAGTATAGGCGAGCTGAGTCAGTAGTGTCAGCAGAACCTACGAGTGGCTACATTAGTATCATAGTATCGGCGCAGTGAAGCCGCGCGTGTCGCGATATCGTGCCGCCCACGCATGTACCATGTTCTAGCGTAGTGTTCGTGTACTGTATGACTTGTATCTGACCACTGATCAACTGATGTACGGCCGCTGATACCGCGCTGACACGCCATGCACATACCTAGTTGTAACTATTGCAGTCGGGACAAACGAGACCATCCTTTAGTTCTCTTACTAAACATCGCAACATACATAAATACCACTAACCACCATGTCTTTTATTACCATAAGTAAGAGACATCAGTTGTGTCATGAGTCCCATATAATAGTGCAAAAGCCTTTTGTGATACATCTGCCTTAGGTACCTATGCATGTATGTATGTATATAAATAAACTTTGTATTAGTACTGCAAAAGGTTTTCTGAGATCCCCATCACCTCGATCCGGGGATCAAACTCAAGATCCGATCATGTTAAACAACACGCAGTAGTCAGTAGAGCGCACGAGCACCGCGCGGTGCCGCGCCGCGGTATCAGCTGACGAGCGAACGTCACTCAACGTGACGTCAAGTAAAATAAGCGCAAGTGACGCACGTATGTGACGTCATCAATGACGTACACTTATATTCATTAAGTAATAATCTGTGGAATAAAAGGATAGTCACGAATAAAATGAACTAAAAATATTGAAACAAGATACACGTAAATAAATATTTTATTTAAAAATCATAGATAAGCCAAAAAAGTTATAAAGTAACATAAGTGGTATAGTGTGAAGTAACATAGTTTCACTCACACTTGTTAAAAGTCATCTAAATTATAACTAAAAACTACGAGAAGAGGTGACCCACAGCGCCATCTACAATGCAACGTCAATATTACAATGTAGGCGCGCTTCGCTCCGTCCACCGTCCACCCAGCGAGCCGCGACTAGTGCATCCGGCGGCGCGGTACAGATGGCGCTCGCAAGCGACGCGCGACGTGCCGCGCGCACCGGTACGTGGCGTGGTACACCACCTCCCAGCAACTCACCAGCGTGATGCCAGTGATAGCCATCCACTGGCAGCTTAGCTTCACTGGGACAACACGAGGAAACATGGTGACGATATTAAACAGATCGATTACAGTTTATTCGACATGTAGAATTACTGATCTTACCACAAACATCAGACAAACGCGAAAACACCTCCATCTTGTACCATTGCTGCCGGTCGACGCCATAGAACAGCCGAAGCGATGTCGTGCTCTGTAGCGACATGTTCCTTCTGTAAAATGAGACAACATGATCAATACGTCATATACCTACATCAAATGCCAGAAGAAAATACGACATTTCATGAGAAGCGAGAAACTGTGTTTTAAACGGTTCTATTTTTACAATTTAATTTGACTATAACTTTTTGTATCGTGCTATTAAGCTGAGATCCTGAGAAGAAAGTGCTTAGATTTTACAGTCGTTACACTACGTCTATACGGATCTCCGAATTTACTCAGATAAATTTTCTTTACGCCCTCAAAATTACAATAAAATATCCTTTACGCCTCTAAAATATTCAACCAATGTTAATGGGGATGACGACAGGGTATGAAAATTAATAATCCGTCAGTTAACTCGTCGAGTACCGGTTTTGTAGACACAATTATAGAACAATAGATTGCGGTCACCGGTGACCGCTTGGTGTTTGACAGTTTAAGTAATGAATAAATATTAGACACGTATTTTTTAATTAACTGGAAAGGACTGCCTAGCAATCGGCAGGGATAGAGATAAGTGGAGAGGTCTGGAGGAGGCCTTCACTCGAGGAGGGGTCCATACCCAATAACTAAAATAACCCTTACTAACACCTAGACATAAGCAAAACAAGTGTGGGAGAGCCATGCTTCGGCACGGATGGGCCGGCTCGACCGGAGTGATACCACGGCCTCACAGAAAACCGACGTGAAGCAACGCTTGCGTTGTGTTTCGTCGTGTGAGTGAGGTTACCGGAGGCCCAATTACCTTCCCCTTCCCCAATCTCTCCAATCCCTGAATCCCCAAAAATCCTCAAACTCCTAATCCCCAAAAAGCCGGTGACGCACTTGTAACGCCTCTGGTGTTC